GGCCCCAGGTTCGAATTCCAGCCAAGGGAACATGCCCAGGATGTGGGCTTGATCCCTAGTAGGGGGCATGCAGGAGGCAGCCAATCAATGATTCTCATCATTGATGTTTTTCTCTCTCTCTCCTCTCTAAAATCAATTAAAAAATATATATATTTTAAAAAGAACATTCTTGCCCTAACTGGTAGGGCTCAGTGAATAGAGCATCGGCCTACAGACTCAAGGGTCCCGGGTTCGATTCCAGTCAAGGGCACATGCCCGGGTTACAGGCTTGATCCCCAGTAGGGGGCGTTCAGGAGGTAGCTGATCAATGATTCTCATCATTGATGTTTCTCTTTATCCCTCTCCCTTCCTCTCTGAAATCAGTTTTATATATATATATATATATATATATATATATATATATACATACATACATATAATATTCTTGTCATGTCTTTTCGTATGCATTTCTGTTAGGTATGCATTTGGGGTGGAATTGTTGAATCAGTGTAGACCAGCGGTTCTCAACCTGTGGGTCGTGACCCCTTTGGCGGTCAAACGACCCTTTCACAGGGGTCGCCTAAGACCATCCTGCATATCAGATATTTACATTACGATTCATAACAGTAGCAGCATTACAGCTATGAAGTAGCAACGAAAATAATTTTACGGTTGGGTCACAACATGAGGAACTGTATTGAAAGGGCCAGAAGGTTGAGAACCACTGGTGTAGATATATGTTCAGCTGTAGTTTATGTGGCCAGGCTATTTTCCAAAGTGGTTCTAAGGGAATTTCCGTGTTTCATCTCTACTCTAGTCGCTTTCCTCCCACACCAGGCAATTCTCCAACTGGCCGATACCAGCCTTGGCTATTCTAAATAAACTTGGAAATAGCCCCCTGGAAGTTAATTCAAAATTTCACCATACATTTGGGAATAGAAGCAGTCTTGTGTTGGTTTTGCCCTGTAGTTGTTAACTGATCAACCCTCTTATCTCTTCCTTCTACCCTCTGGCCTGCTTATTTTAATACTAGAGGCCTGGTGCAGGACATTCATGCACTGCGGGGGGGGGGGGGAGGGTGTCCCTCAGCCCGGTCTGTGCCCTCTTGCAGTCTGGGACCCCTTGGAGGATGTCCAGCTTGTTTTGCTCCCACCTCCGCCGCCCGGCTTGTTTTCAGCCGCCTATTGGTGGTTAATTTGCATATTGCCCTGATTAGCCAATGGGAGGCGTAGCAAAGGTACAGTTAATTACCATTTTTGGCTATTATTAGATAGGATAAGACATCTTGGAAATTTTTTCTTGAGATAGACACATTGATTGGTTTCCTCCTGCTGGTGCCCCCACTGGGGCTGGGGATTGAAACTTGACTGGGAATCAAACCCTTGACCCTTTGTTCCATGGCCAAAGCTCTAACCACTGAGCAACTGGCCAAGACACCCCCCCCCCTTTTTTTTTTTAAACTGTGAATTGAATCTGCAAACTTTTGGTATGTAGGATGCTGCTCCAAGCAACTGAGCTACCTAGCCAGAGCAAGAGTAAATCTTTTTCTTTTTTAATGTTTCTATTTATTTTTAGAGAGAGAAGAAGGGAGAGAGAGAAAGAAACATGGATGCGAGGAAAACATCGATTTGGCTGCCTTCTACACACCCCCTACTGGGGATTGAGCCTGAGACCCAGGCAGGTGCCCTGACAGGGAATTAAACCATTGACTTTTTGGTGCATAGGCCAACGCTCAACCACTGAGCCACACCTGCCAGATAAAAGGGAATCTTTTAATTAGCCTATGAGAGAGACCTTTTCTTTTTGGCATGCATGATTATAATAAAATGTTGGCTCGTAACTACATTGTCCAAAAAAGGTTTCTTTAACACACCAAGAGCTAGTAGAGGAGGGTTATGGGAATAGAAAGGAAAAATACTGTAAATGGGTCATTATGGATAATTGTAAAAGTTGCCATTCTATGCTTTCTATGATTTCTGAACCCCATGCACTCTAGTTATGGACCCAACAACACTGATTGAGACCATAGACTACATCTATGAGGACAGCACCCTATCCTTTCGAGATGTGGTTTCCAGTGGGCAACATCTGGAAAGCTTCAACAGGTAATCCTACAATTCTGGAGGGCCACCTGCTTTTAGGTAATGAGGAAAATGAAAAGAACAGCTAATCCCATTAGGCAAGATTTCTTCATGCTTTGATAATATCAAGTCCTTCTGACATTCTAGACCTGTGGTTCTCAACCTTCCTAATGCCACGACCCTTTCATACAGTTCCTCATGTTGTGGTGACCCCCAATTTCATTGTTACAAATTGAACATAATGAAAGCATAGCGATTCATCACAAAAACAATATGTAATTATATATGTGTTTTCCGATAGTCTTAGGCGACCCCTGTGAAAGGGTTGTTCGACCCCCAAAGGGGTCGCGACCCACAGGTTGAGAATTGCTGTTCTAGACGTTACTTTGACTTACCATTTAATTGTTGATTAGGATTTAGATTTGGTAGAGTTATGGGAGGTTTTCAAGTTTCAAATGATTTTTGTCTGGCAGAAAACAACCTTGAAGGACATTAACCAGATTTGTATCAAACTTTCCAACCTAATTCCTGCATTCTTTCCCCCTCAGTCTATACATACTCATTCCTCAAGGTCCTCCCGTGAACAAGCTTTATTTTTCTGCTGGTTCTCTCACAAATGGAAATAACATCATTGATGCATGCTAACCATGTTTTTGTGTGAAGGGCACGTTTTTTAACTTTTAAAAAGTTATACTATGAAAATAGTTAAGTCCAGGGATGTAATTACTGGCAGAAATAGGACAGGGGGGTGGGAATAACACCAATTCCCAACAAAGTATTATTCTAATGAAGGTGAATTGGTGACCTTTCCCATGAAAAGGATCCATTGTAATCAATCTACCACCAGTGGTTGGGAAGTGGGACACTGGATGTGTGGACCTGATTCACCGTGCCTGCCTGAGTTCAGTCTCAAATACCATTTCCACATGGTGATGAATTGAAGCTGGGTCTGCCCACTTCATCACTTGGTGTGTCCCATAGTACATCACCTGGGATTGTGGCCAGTCATCCAGGCTTCATAGAATCCACGAATAATCCAAGAGCTAATTCTCAGAACAAGAGGTCTTCACTTTCTATAAATCCCCAGGGTGTACGCTTCCTATTGTTTACCAGAGGTCCATAGACTACCCGTAAGCCCGTAAGAGGCAACGGAATGCCAGCGCCGATTAAAAAAAAAAAAAAAAATTGTGATGCTTATGCCTAATCCTATAACGTTGAGCCAGGTTCAGTCTGTATCCATTAAATGGGAATAATATTATCTGTCCCGTGTATAGTTATGAGGGTTAAAGAATTTTACGTTATACTGTTCCGAATCCGTTTAGTACTTCCAAGTCCAGCATTTGAGAGCCTTCTATCTACTAATTAGGTTGTAAAACTCCACCAAAGCCCGCCCCTCTTGCACCGCCCAGGGATGACGTCATCGACCGAGGTCCCTAATGACATCATCTCCCGGCTTGCCTGGCTCCATCTTCCCATTCTCCGGAAACCTACAACTCCAGCACCCGGCCTCCGGCTTTAGGTTATTTTTTTCCTCTCCGTAGCCCGATTTCCTCCCCTCCCATCCTCCCACCTAAAACTTTCTACTCTTCCCGCTTTCCCTCAAGCTAGCAATTTTCGGTTCTTCCTGCTGTTTCTCGGGCGAATTACTCAGAAATCGTTTACTCTCTTAATTAATCGCCTCCCTAGCCAGCCCTTCAGCTCCTTCCTTCTAAATCTCATTACCCGCGCACCGCCTCTTTCGGCTGTTTCCGTCTCCTGCCACCCACCCCGACGCCGCCTTCGGCTCTTTCCGGATCGCCTCAGTTCCTTGTTTCCCAGTCCCGATCCGCTTCGGTTATTTCCGGCTCTCAGGGACCTCCCATTTTTTTCTCTAGCCCCACCCCAATAATCATCTTCGACACTTTCCGCCTCTCCTTGTCTCCCGCTCAGCGCCTTTCGGCTCTTTCCGCCTTCCCTCGGCCTCTCGGCTCTTTCCGCCGCCCTTTCGGGAAAGGGGCCTGTACCGCCCCCTCTCCGCCACGTGACGCGGCCTCCGCCTCTCAGTTCCCCCTCCCGCCTCGCCCTTCCTCCCGCCTCAGCCTCCCAGTCTGTCCAGGCCACGCCGCCATTTTGTGTGAATTTCTGACTGCGGCGGGGGCCGGACAGCCGGGGCACCGAGGGCGGGCAGACAGACAGACAGACAGTCGGCCCGTCTCCGCGGCCCGTTTCTCTTCTCCCTAAAACCCTTCTCTTCTTAACCCCCCCTCGCTCGCTCTCCTCTTCCCCCCTTCCCCCTCGCTTGCTCAATCGCGCGCGGCCCGCGCTAATTACACCCAACCACCCACCAGTCTCCTTGTACTCCGGGGTCCCACTCCCGGGTCCGCGGGTGTGTGTGTGTGTGTTGGGGGGGCGTGTGGAGGGGGCGTCTCGCCCAGATGAGGGCCCCGCGCCCGTGAGCGAGTGACCCCGGGGACGAGCTGCGGAGAAAGCAGGCGGCGAGCGGCCCGCCGAGGCCTAGGCCGCGCGGCTGACGCGGAGGTCGGCGCAGAGGTGATTCCGAAATCGAAAAAAATACTATCCCCGTTCCCGTCAGGAGCCCGCAGAGCTGAAGTGTGCCCCCTCCCGCCACGCCCAAGCCCAAGCAGTCCTTTTTCGTGCATTAACACCCCCCTCCCCCCAAAGGAACGATGGAGGCCGCGCCCGGGACCCCCCCGCCGCCGCCATCAGAGTCGCCGCCGCCGCCATCGCCGCCATCAACGCCTTCGCCTCCTCCGTGTTCCCCCGACGCCTGCCCGGCCGCCCCGCACCTCCTCCACCGCCTCCCGCTCCCTGACGACAGGTCAGGCCCCCGGCCCGGCCGGGGCAGCGTCCCCGGGGGGAGGAGGAGGAGGAGGAGGAGGAAGGGGGGCGGCCGCCATGTTGGGCCGGGCCGCGGAGGAGGAGGAGGAGGAGGAGGAGGAGGAGGAAGGGCGGGGTCGGTGGGTGTCTCTCGCTCGCTCGCTCTTTCTCGCTTGCTTTCTCTCCCGGCCTCATGCGTGTCCCCCCCCTCGCGGCGTTCGCCCGCTCTCCCTCGCTCTCGCTCTGTCTTTTTTGGGCGCCATGCTGAGGGGAAGGTGAGGAGGCGCCCCCCGGACCCCCCGCGCCCGCCCCGGGGAGGGGGCGCCGGAGGCCCACGGGGGGTCCGGGCTGCCCTTGCGCCCGGAGCTGGCAGCCCCGGGCCCGCCTGCCGGCCGCCTGGCTTCAGGGAAGGGGATGGGGGAGGGGCCCCCGGACCCCTTTTCGGGGGAGACCTCGAGCCGCAGCCCCGCGCGGAGGGGTGTGGAGTTGGGGGCCCCCGAGCCCCCGGCGGTATCCTTTCTCCCGGGGGAGGCGCGCCCCGTCCTGCTTGGAGAGGTAGCCCAGCGTTCGTAGGAGGCAGAAAGTGGGGGTTCGTCCAGTCCCTTTCCCACCCTCCTCCTGGGGGGGTCCTGACATGGGGGGCCCCTTGCACTGTTTCTCCCCCCCCCCTTTTTGGCGGGAGGTGTTTCCTAGGTGTTCCCTGGAGGGCAAAAAGGTGGGGGGACCTCTAGCCCCTTGGATGGAAGTCCCTTCCCGTTTTGGGGGGAAGAAGACCCTGCCCCTTGTTTTTTCTCTAAAGGGAGGGTTCCTCTCGCCCTTTTTTTTCTTTTCTTTTATTTTTTTAGGTAGGTGATGCGGGCTTTTTGGGGGGCAGTGGGAGAGGCTTGGCTTCCCTGCCTTGGAGGGGAAGAGGAAGTCGGCCCCCTCTTGCTCTCCGGGGTTCGCTCCTTCTTTGGGGCTGAAAAGCGGCGCCCTCCCTTCCGGGAGCCGAAAGGAGCGTCCCCGGGGCCGTGGCTCGGGGCGAAGGGGGCGCCCCCCTCCCGTGTGTTGAGTGCGAAGGGGGCTCGCCCCGCGCCCTTCCCTGGAGGGGGACCCCGGGCCGGCGCCGCGCGCCCCGGGGCGAGGCCGGCGCCCGGGGCCCCCCGCCCCAGCGCGGGGTGGGGAGCGGGGTAGAGAGTGGGTTGGAGATGGAAGGAGGGCTGCAGCGAGGCTGGGGTGCGGGGGGCGGGGGGAGGTGGGAAGGAAGAGGCGCCCTGGCAGATGCTGTGCAGGCGCTGCCCGGCCGGGCCCGCGGGCACCCTACCCCCCCCCCCCCCCGCAGGCAGGGGTGTCAGCGAGGGCTGCCCTGCCCCCCACTCCCACCTCCCCTCCCCTTTCTCCTTCACAGACCACACTTTGCCTTTTAAAAGAAATGCCACCCACATTCAGAGACACAAGTGCAGCAGTTTGGTGAGCTTTTACAACCATGTTTTTTTTTTTTTTTTTTTTGGTTTTGTTTTTTTGTTTGGTTCTGTTTTGTTCTAATTAAATGTATCGTCCTGGGAATCGCAGCCCATCGCAGCCTGACTCCAGTTCCAGGAAATAGATTAGCAAAGGTCTGTTCCGCTCAGCTCAGCCCGCGCTGGGCTTCCGGGCCCCCCTCGGGGGGCAGGTGCATTACTCAGAGGTGCCCACACGCTTTACTCGACCTCTCAGGAGCTCTCTTATGTCAGAAGTGTATGTCTTACAATGGGTTGGGATGGTAAGTAGCCTCTTTTATTGAGTAATTCAATTATCTCCCTCTTCTCCGTCCCTCTCCTGCCTGCCTTCCTCCTCGCCTTTAGATCAAAGTGATGCTTGAGAGAGTGAGTTGGTATGTTCAAATCAGGATTCTAGCCCGGTTGAGCCCTTTTTTATAGTTGCACATCCTTTCGATGTTTAATTTTTAAAAATAGGACGTACACAGTTTTCTAAAAAAGAAAAAAAAAAAGTGTTACTGTAACATGACAAAAACCTAAGTAAAAGGCCCCTATGTATGTTTTCAAGCCCTTGGTATGGTATACCTTCTTGTCATTTCAATTCATTGCTTTGTCTCCAGCCCTCATCTTTGAAGAAAGTGGACACTCCAAGTCCATTTGTGGGAGACAGAGTTACTGAATTTGGTTTATGATACCTGCATTCAAGTTAATGCTCTCCCTCCCCTTTGCCCCACGTCCCCCCAGAAGACTGTGGTTCAAGTAGACCCCATTTTCTCATTTTACTCCAATGTCTCTTATGGTGATGGACGTTGAAATTAAGCAAGTCATTTGTAAAGTACTGTTGAAGCACCAAATCTGTAAAGTGTCAATACCCAGTCTCCTCTCCTTGTCTCCACTGTCCTTTGTTCGAAAGCACATGCCTGATCGTGAAAAGTTGATGCCAACGTGTTACACGCCCAGTCATGGTGGAGAGAACACTTCCCTCAGCCCCCAGTCCCCCTTCTCTACGTGTACAAGGAAAAAACAGCGACAGAAATGACTTGCAGAACCAAACACTGTACTTCTGGTGTGTTTTACAAGCATAAGTTCTCCCGTTAAAAGACAAAACACGGTGAAGTTCTGTTTTCCCTCTTGTCCAACTTTCGGTCCCTGACATACTTGGGTCGAGGAAGCTTTTGAACACACAGCCCTCTTCCACTCCCAAAGATCAGGTTTCCTTTTTTTCCGTTCTTGGGAGAGGAGACAGTTCACTGCATTCAGATGAGGAAACATGTAAATTGCAATTCCGTGGGCCACTCGTTCTTCCTCTCATTGTGTTCACAACCTAACTGCTGGGAAGTGACGACCTTAGGTGTGTAAAGTCTATTGTGGGAGAAAGAAATGTCCACACAGTACAGTGTCCTGCAAAAAAAAAAAAAAAAAAAAAAAGATGTCTGAAGCACAAACTGAACACACTCTCCAGGGCGCAAGGTCCGCCGAAAGTGAATTGCATTTAAAGTTTCCCCTCCTTGGTGAAATTCCTCCTCCAGGAGCCAAGTGCAGAAACCCGGTGCTATAGATGAACCTTCCAAGGTTCAGGACCTACGAAGTTGCAGAGGGATGCTAATGTAACTTTACTTTGAAATGTTAAGGGAATAGGATTTCTTTTCTCAGAAGTGGAGCAATCCTATATCGCATTTAAAAACATTTCCCTAAACATTTAAAAAGCGCTCAGGCATATCCACACAAGGGTTTGTTGTTTTTACATCCTCAAAGGAATCTCATGTATCAAGCCCAAGAAACCCCAGTAATTCAGCCAGACTATTTGGGTAGCCTTTGTTTTTGAAATGTCACAGTACTGCCTTTTTTCTTCCCAAAACTGATGTACCGGTATTAGTTAAAATTCAAATTGATGGATGTTGCAAAAAAAGAAAAAAGAAAAAGGGTGTCACTCAGAATACCTGATTTAACGGCAACTCTCATACACTTGTCAAATTTTGTATTCTCTGGGGAGAGGTTACTCTGAAAGCAGTTAAAAATCTCCCAGTAGAATAAAAAATCATTGCGACCAGGGAAACATGGATATTCTGGTCCTTAAAGCCCCTGTTTTTCTTATTCCCCTCAAATTTGCTCTTCAAAAGAAAATAATAGCATTCCCCCCAAAAGGGCTTTCTATTTCACATTCTGTCCTGTCTCCCAGATAGGGTTTCATTCAATTTTTTGATCTTGAGAAGCCAGCATTTTGTTTTCACATAGAGCTACTTTCTGAAGCCACAAAGGTGGCCTTTCCTTTGCCAGGAAGGCTGTTCCCCAGGGAAAACTTGGCACCCGGGGAAATGAAGGCTTTCCCCAGGTGTTGCGTACCTGGCAAGTTAGAGATGAATGGTTGACTCTGAATTTGTCTGCTCCTGTCCCGTTGGATATGGACAGTTTTTGTATTGGGCCGGTTTCTCTTTAATAATGCCTCGACCTCTGCTCCTTTCTTAGATCTTTTCCCTTTGCTGCTAGAAGGGAAACGGATGTCTCAGGGTTGCCTTATTCCGTGAACATTTTTGCGGCTATCGCGCCCCAGGACCGTCCTGTATAGGCCAGATCCAGATGCAGTCAATACGTCGACGGTGAAAATTGCTACTGAAACGATTGCCAGGCCTCTGTGAATGCCCTGTTCCAGACCACCTAATTCTGGTGCCTGCGGATACCTTCTCGTACCAGAGGGAGTGGTTCTGACCCAGGTTCGGAGGTTGAGTGACAGAAAATAATTCAGAGCAAATAACGAAATCGCTAAGTTGCTAAACGAGCAAGGCGTTTGCGTGTACCGTGGCAACGTTTCTGACCTGAGGAGGGGAGAAAAGGATGGATTCGGAGATTTCTGGCAGTTGGTATTTAATAAGCTGATTCAAGGACCCGTAGCAGCAGTCCGCTTGTAGGTGGAGGGGATCCCGTCAGAATAAGTGGTTTGAGGCCGGTTTCATAATTAAAACCTAATGGAAAGAGCGGAAAAGCTGCCTCATTGTCTGGGCGGCATCTGAGGTTCATTTGGATAAATTAAGGTAAGACGTCGGGGGAGCAGGTTTCATGGATTTGGGTTTCTACATGTCGGCCTCGTCTTCGCTGCAGACCTGCTTTGCTTTGGGTAGTTCACAAAGATGCTGTTTTGAAGACTGTGCGGTGTGTGTTTTTTCCATTTAGTAACGATACGAGGTTACGTGGGCAGTTTTTAAATGCATTTCTGACTCAGTTGATGGCAAGATGAACGTCGTCACATCCTGCTGCTGGAATAATTTTTTAGCAGAACAGGGGTTATTTGCTTAGAGGTGATTTGGCCTTCTCCTGGCCAAATTGCTCTGGATAGAGGATCTTGTGTGTTTTTTTTTGTCATTTCATATGTGCCTGTTGGTGACTCAGCTCTCTTATTTGTAAGGCAGGCGGTGACATCTTCCAAACATGGAGGGGCAGCAGGGTATGAAAGGGCAGTGTGGGCTTTGGAGGCAGATAAGCCCTCCTGCAGTGTATGGTGGGCACAGATAACGCCCACTGCTCGGGGCATTGCCGTCAAATGGGCATATGCAGGACACCCACGCAATGCCTGGCATTCAGTGAGTCTTGGTTCCTTTGTCTCCCTGCTGTCCCTACTAGAGAAAAATTGTCAGTAGAATTTGCAGGCCGGTGGGTAAACAGAAGTCAGAATAACGTGTGTGTTCTTGAGGGAAGTCTTGTCTTCCTCTTTGTAGGTTTCTGGTCAGCTTATTCAACGGCAAGGAGCTGATCGGGGGTGAAACTAAGTGGGAGCCATCTTAGGGCATTTCTTGCTTGCATCATGTCCTTATAGATGCTAGAAC